ATTTTCTAAGGCCCAGTGTTGTGTCGTCTTAGGCCCCATGATGTGTTGTCTAAGGCCTCGATATCCAGGTTTAGACACACACACACACACACACCTAAGCGGATAAAGTCATTAGAGTGTTAATGTGATGACGCAGCTTTGGTTTTGATTGAAAATATTAACCTGCTGAAATCAATTAATGTTCAGCAGCTACAGAAATATTGGGTCGACAGGTAATTAAAGCTTATTCCCACCCTGTGTGAAAATGAAAATGGCATTAAGCTTACTTGTGTAATATGCGTTAATAAATATGCAAATTTGCTTTTCATTACGAGTGGAATGGTATTTATGATGCATAGAGTACACCCTACTTAAAACAATAGCAATGTGTATTTAGTATTGGTGGAATTGAGCATTTGCATAAGCTTGTTAATATGATTGTGCTATTTAAGTATACTTCATTTTATATACTAACTTTCGTGTGTATAAATTCTGTTAAACTGTGTTACTGCTAGACAAGGGCATGCGTTTATCACTTAGTTTATATGTATACATTTATTTTTATATATTTGTTATTGCCATTTTTATTATTACAGTTCTCTCTTATTTCATGTTTTCTTTTTTTATAACTTATTCTTACGTTTTGCTATTTTCTTTATACTTAATTTGATGTGTATAATTCCACGGAAAATAGAGATGTGAGGTAAGAATTAGAGAAAGGATATATTAGAGAAAGTAGAAGAAAGACAGGAATAACGGAGAGAGAGAGAGAGAATCCTTGTAAAAAAAGAAGAGAAAATAACGAAAAAGAATGTACAGGAAAAAGAAAAGGAAAGAGAAAGCGGAATAATAATAATAATAATAATAATTGCATTGACATAGATATCACAAAGATTCGAGAATAATTTTTTTTCTGGGATGGAAAGTCGAGTGATTACATATTTGTGGGTATTTGTCGACAAGCTGAGAGGGTGACTTGCTGGTAATAGGTTTTCAATTTGGTTCCGAGTATAAGATAATATATTTCATTTTTTTTGGCCTTATATAGTTTTTATTTACATCTTATATCGCCTTTATTTACATCTTATATCGTCTTTATTTACGTCTTGTATCGTCTTTATTTACGTCTTATATCGTGTTTATTTAATCTTATATCGTGTTTATTTACATCTTATATCGTCTTTATTTGCGTCTTATATTGTTTATTTACATCTTATATCGTCTTTATTTACATCTTATATCGTCTTTATTTACGTCTTATATCGTGCTTATTTACATCTTGTATCATCTTTATTTACATCTTATATCGTCTTTATTTACATCTTGTATCGTCTTTATTTACATCTTGTATCGTCTTTATTTACATCTTATATAGTCTTTATTTACATCTTATATCGCATTTACAGTATTCCATCTTATATCGTCTTTATTTACATCTTATATCGTCTTTATTTACGTCTTATATCGTGTTTATTTACATCTTATATCGTCTTTATTTACATCTTATATCGTCTTTATTTACGTCTTATATCGTCTTTATTTCCATCTTATATCGTCTTTATTTACATCTTATATCGTCTTTATTTCCACCTTATATCGTCTTTATTCCATCCATTTTATATCGTCTATATTTCATCTTACATCGTCTTTATTTACATCTTGTATCGCATTTATTCCATCTTATATCGCCTTTATTTACATCTTATATCGCCTTTATTTACATCTTATATCGTCTTTATTCCATCTTATATCGCCTTTATTTACATTTTATATCGTCTTTATTTCCATCTTATATCGCCTTTATTTACATCTTATATCGCCTTTATTCCATCTTATATCGTCTTTATTTGCGTCTTATATCGTCTTTATTTGCATCTTATATCGTTTTAATTTACATATTATATCGTCCTTATTTACATCTTATATCGTTTTAATTTACGTCTTGTATCGTCTTTATTCCATCCATTTTATATCGTCTTTATTTCATCTTATATCGTCTTTATTTACATCTTATATCGCATTTATTCCATTTTATATCGCCTTTATTCCACCTTATATCGTCTTTATTCCCATTTATACCGCCTTTATTTATATCTTATATCGCCTTTGATCCATCTTATATAATTACACGATATAGCGATATATTTCTTAGCTGTTGTCATATACCATACGTCGAGGTTATGTCAGTGGGTATCATTGTTATATATGGGTATATTTCTGTAATTAGTTATATTATTTTTCGCTCTATGATGTTACGATGGATATATAAACAGGTTCTATTAGTCCGTCCGTCTGTTTCTACTTCCGTCCGTCTGTTCGTTTGTCTGATTTAAAAAAAAAAGGATTTCAAATAATAATGTATGCTTGTAAATTAATATTATCGTAAAGAGCTGCGGGGTTTTAAATTGGGTACTGCTGTTTTAATATATCCAACGTTGTTGTTATTATTGTTGTTGTTGTTGTTGTTTATTTTCATATTGTCTATAATAACAAAAGTTCGTTCCTTAACTTCGAAATCGGCAAAAAAATAAAAGCTATCTGAAACTTTTTTTATCATCACGAACGGTTTTATGAAGTATTCGAAGTCGTGGACATATTCCATCAGTTCCAATATTTTTACACTTGGGGGCGGCGGGCCTCTGGTGGCGATTATAACTACGATTATAATTTCATAAATAATAAGATACGAAAGACGACAATAAGGTGAGATGACAAGTGATAGTATGAGAGCCATCCACCCTCTCCTGGCTTCCCTCCCTGTAGAGACGAGAGGAACAGACGCCGTAACTTGTATCAGCGGGAACAAAGCGGCCCTCCCACACGATCCCTCGCCTCCAATCTCGTTAAGGCGCTTAGGAGGAGGATCGACACACCTTAACCGATAGTTTCCGAGGCTAGATTAGCTCCTTGGCAGTTTGTTTTCGTTTTTGTATAGATTCAGGGAAAATTAAGAGCTGATGATGAAGTTTTATGCTTGTGTTTTGTGGGGAAAATTCAAGATCCTGATTTTTTTTCGAAGTGTTTTGAATCGAAGAACAATTTTGGGATGATTTTCGGTATTGTTGTTACTTGACTTTTAATAATAAAAAAAATCGTGGTGATAGTTTGAATTGGGATTCTTCCAGAGGCTGGATTTTAAAGTGTGTGTGTGTGTGTGTGTGTGTGTGTGTGTGTGTGTGTGTGTGTGTGTGTGTACTAAAAAAATGCCTCTTATTATTACTTTAAAGTGTGTATTTTCAAGCCATCATTAGCCTACTATTATCTAAAGAGAGACATGAGCGTGTTACAACCATATGATGATTTTCTCACCTCAGACGTATGCAGGAAATATGTAACTCTTTGTATTCCATCTCTTGTGAAGCTCTTGTAACTCTTTGTATTCCATCTCTTGTGAAGCTCTTGTATCTTTTTGTATTCCATCTCTTGTGAAGCTCTTGTAACTCTTTGTATTCCATCTCTTGTGAAGCTCTTATAACTTTTTGTATTCCATATCTTGTGAAGCTCTTGTAACTCTTTGTATTCCATCTGTTGTGAAGCTCTTGTAACTCTTTGTATTCCATCTCTTGTGAAGCTCTTATAACTTTTTGTATTCCATATCTTGTGAAGCTCTTGTAACTCTTTGTATTCCATCTGTTGTGAAGCTCTTGTAACTTTGTATTCCATCTCTTGTGAAGCTCTTATAACTTTTTGTATTCCATCTCTTGTGAAGCTCTTGTAACTCTTTGTATTCCATCTCTTGTGAAGCTCTTGTAACTCTTTGTATTCCATGTCTTGTGAAGCTCTTGTAACTTTGTATTCCATCTCTTGTGAAGCTCTTATAACTTTTTGTATTCCATCTCTTGTGAAGCTCTTGTAACTCTTTGTATTCCATCTCTTGTGAAGCTCTTGTAACTCTTTGTATTCCATGTCTTGTGAAGCTCATGTAACTTTTTGTAACATAAAACAGAAAAGAAAAGAAAAATATGACCAGCCTGTGTAAAATATCACACCATAACCTTCAACATCACTTGCCTTCACAGCCATCCCTCTTGAGCCTTCCTCCCCCCTCCCTGAGCCTGATCCCTCCACCCCCTCCCTTCCCCTCCCCCTATGAGCCTCCCCCTCTTCCCCGTCCACACTATACAATATGAAGTCACTGGATATCCTATATTTTCCTCACTTATATTTACTTATAAAAGACTTGAATATTATACACAAGTCACTTCTAAACGTCCTATGACTTTTTAAAGCCCTCGGCATATTTTTTTATCCAATTACGATTTTTTTTTCAGAATTTTACCCGATATCTACATGTTGTTAATGTCTTTGACCTCCTGTGACCTTACTGCAACGAGTCAAACCTGTGGGAACTTTGACCTTTTTTTTACCTCATTAGAATTAGACATTAACGACTATGATCTTGATTTTTCTACTAACCGGAACCAGACATTAAACTGTGTGTTGACCTGACCTCATTGCAGGAATGAGTTCATTAAAGGTAATCTGGTCGAGTTTAAAAGCCACAGTCTGGGTAAATGACCTCACCTGGCTGACAACTTTACTATGGGGAGGAAAAACACCTTTGTTGGCTGGCGGTAAGCGGAGTCTCGACCCAAAGGGAAATACGAAACTCATTATATTTTAAAATGTAATCTTTAGGTGAAAGGCTTGTTTTGTATGTGTGTGTGTGCGCGCGCGCGTTTGCCTATTGTAGTAAAGCTTGGCGGCGGATGGTTCAGGTGTTGACCAAGGGAAAACTTATTAAATATGCGAGAGAATAGGTCAAAGGTCAGTGTTACTGTTGTGTACAGGAAGTGCGACCTCTACTCTGACCTTTTGTGTTTTGCTTACTCTTCATTTAAAATTGTTTACCATTCAAGGTGTTTTAATTAATTGTCTAATGATTTTCTTTTACGTTATTCTCTATCGTTTAGTTTGTCTTCCATGATATTGCTTAACGAACAATTGGGGTCCTTTTGATATTTTTTTTTCTTCTCCAAAAACTTAAGTTTTCCTGAACAAGTTGAATATACTGAACAGAAATGACAGACGCCCGCAAGTACAGACGCCCGCAAGTACAGGCGCCCGCAAGTACAGACGCCCATAATGGATGCCAGTAATATCGAGTGTCAGTAATAATGGATTCTGGTACAAATGGATCACAGTAAAAATAGCCTCGAGTCCTTAGTTATCTTCGACTAGGTTGGGGCCTCACAGGACAGGGGCCTCACAGGACAGGGGCCTCACAGGACTAAGGGCCTAACACATCTAGTCTTATCCATGACACAGTCGGGCGCCCAGGTGGCCCTTTGATAATAGTAATGAGGTGAGGCGGGTGTGAGCAAGACCCTCGTGACACCTGAGCGTGAGGCTGACGTTAATTACAAGTGACATTACAGCCTACAGGTACACGATTGGGGGCGGTAGAGGGGGTGGGGTGCTCTTGTTAATGTATTGTTGTATTGTAGTAATTGTGTATCGTCATCTATGCTCTATCTACCACGGGACTTTTAGAACCTTAAATAAATAAACAAATGGATGAGTTAACAAGTAAATAATTAAAGAGGTATCGATAAATAAATGATTTTTATTTATTTTCAATATTAAGTGATGCTTTATTGAAGTGAAGTCTCCGTTAAAGATATTTATTTGTGAATATTTTGTTTTTATTTGGCCAATACCGATAAATATTGTTCGCCCCCCCCTCCCCCTTTGCCCCTCCTCCCCGTCTTCCCCTTCTCCCCTCCTCCCCTTCATAACCTCCTCTCCTTCTCCCTCCTCCCGTCTTCCCTTCTCCCTCCTTCTTACCTCCTCCCTTCACCTCCTCTCCTTCTTCCCTCTCCCTCTTCCCCTCCTCCCCCTTGCCCTCCTCCGTTCTTCCCTTCTTCCTCCTCCTTCTTCCCTCCTCCCTTCTTCCCCTCCTCCCCTTCTTCCCCTCCCTTCCCCTTCTTCCCCTCTCCCTCCTCCTCCTCCCCTTCCTTCTTCCTCCTCCCTTTCTTTCCTTCCCTCCTCCTTCTCCTCCCCATCCCCCACCTTCCTCTCCCTCCCCCAGAAGGCAGAACTCAGACTCATCAGGAAAATACAATAAATAAAAACATTTTAACTGTATTTTGCTGTGTAACACATCACTGCACCCCCAGCCCCATCACCCCAGCCTCACCCAGCGGCTCCCTGCACCCAGCCCCATCACCCCGGCAGCCCCCCCATCACCCGGCGGCTCCTTACTGCACCCCTGGCCCATCACCCAGCCCCTGCTATTTATCACCCACTCACCCCACGGCGGCTCCTTACCCCAGCCCATCACCCAGCGGCTCCTTACCATCCCCGGCCCCATCACCCGGCGGCTCCTTACCCATCCCAGCCCCATCACCCACGGCACTCACATCGCCCCATCACCCGGCGGCTCTTACTGCACCCTGGCCCCATCACCCACGGCGGCTCCTTGCACCTGGCCCATCCCGGCGCCCTGCACCCCGGCCCCATCACCCCGGCGGCTCCCTGCCCCCCTCATCACCACGGCGGCTCCTTACTGCACCAGCCCCATCACCCGGCGGCTCCTTACTGCCCCGGCCCCATCACCCACGGCGGCTCCCTGCACCCCGGCCCCATCACCCGGCGGCTCCTGCGCCCCGGCTCCATCACCCGGCGGCTCCTTACGCACACCCCAGCCATCTTACACCCCGGCCCATCACCACGGCGGCTCCTTGCACCCCCGACCCCATCACCCCCGGCGGCTCCTTACTACCGGCCCCCACCCCACGGCGGCTCTTACTGCACCCCGGCCCATCACCCCGGTGCCCCCGCCTCACCCACGGCGGCTCCTTACTGCACCCCCGGCCCCATCACCCACGGCGGCTCCTTACTGCACCCCCGGCCTCATCATCCCACGGCGGCTCCTTACTGCCCCGGCCCCATCACCCCGGCGGCTCCTTACTACACCCCCGGCCCATCACCCCACGGCGGCTCCTTACTGGTCCCATCACCCCACGGCGGCTCCTTACTGCGCCCCTGGCCCCTCACTAGTGTACTCTACCTTACCTCACCTAACCTGACCTAATCTAACCTAACCTGACCTGACCTGATAAAACTTACCATCGAGTTAGTGAAAGTTAAGTAGTCCTAACACGACCTCAGAACAGACCCGCCCAGAGAATTAAATTTTTTTTAAATTTTTTTTATTCCAGTTTGCATTAATTATAAATGTTTGGTATGAAAGAACCGGCCCCTCTGAATAATTAATTATTTTCCTCCCTGTTGATTAATGATGCGGGTCTTTGAAGTAAAAAAAATATATATATTTCCCTATTTTTTTCCCTTAGTTCTTTGTGACACTCGTAAGCCCTGATTGTCTTTATTAATGATTATAATAATGTTGGACCAAAACCAAAAATCGTCATATTTCTGTTTTTTTCGTCATTTTTTTCGATGTTTTTTATAATTTTTAGTGTTCAGATTTCTCTCTCTCTCTCTCTCTCTCTCGTGTTTATTAAATTCAAGGTCTTATATATGCGTCATTATATTTCCAGGTCTTATAAGTCTTTTTGATTATATCCAGGTTCTTATAAAGCCTTGTCTATATATCGATACTTATTTCCTTATCAATTTTCTATATATTTTCTAGCTTTTCATAGTTAATTATTTGTATATATTATTTAGCTTTTTTTAAACTTAATAGCCTTGCTGAGTCATGATAATTCACGTGACCATTTAGCAATAACTTTCTTCCTTTGCTTACTGTAATGATTGGCTATATCTTTCAGTCTATTGAGAATAGTTATCTTTGGTTAGGTTAGGTTGGGTTTAGGTTAGGTGTACGATAATAACCTTAGCGATACGAGAAATTGCGATATTTTTAAGATTTACCGAAGTGGATAGTTTAGCGATATTTTCAGTGTTAATTTGATAATGTGTTGCCTTATCGTATGTAGGGTGATAGTTAGCGATGTTATGAGCCTTGTATTGGGGGATTGTTTAACGATATATTATAGTTTTTGCCGATATTTTTAGGTATAATTTTATATTTTTTTGCCGATTTTTCTAGGTATGATTTTATAGTTTTTTTTGCCAATATTTCTAGACATAATTTAATATTTTTTTTTGCCGATGTTTCCAGACATCATTTTATATCTTTTTTTGCCGATATTTTTAGTCATGAGTTCATAGTTTTTGCCGATATTTCTAGAATTTTTTTTATTTTTTTGCCGATATTCCTAGCCATAATTTAATAGTTTTTGCCGATATTTCTTGACATAAGCTCATAGTTTTTGCCGATATTGCTAGACATAAGCTCATAGTTTTTGCCGATATTTCTACCCATAATTTTATATTTTTTGGCCAATATTTCAAGGCACAGTTTTTGCCGAAATTTCTAGCCATAATTTCATAGTTTTTTTTTGCCGATATTTCTAGCCATAATTTCATATTTTTTTTTGCCGATATTTTTAGCCATACTACCTCGTTATCAGGACTTGCCACGTATCGACCGAGAGCCGTATTTATCGCTGATGGCAACATGTGATATTATCTCAGCATACAAGGGGGGCAGGTTGGGTGTTACTCGATCGATAACGCGAATGAAAGTGCCGCCACTGCTCTCTGTATGTGTGGGGAGGTTGGGTAGGGGTGTTGTGTGGGAGGGGTGGGGTGGGGTGTAGGGGTGTTGTGTGGGAGGGGGTGGGGTGGGGTGTAGGGGTGTTGTGTGAGGGGGTGGGTGGGGGTGTTGTGTGAGGGGTGGGGTGGGGTGCTGTGTGAGGGGGGGTGGGGGGGTGTAGGTGTTGTGTGGGAGGGGGTGGGTGTTAGGAGGGGTGGGTGGGGGTGTAGGGTGTTGTGAGGGGTGGGTGGGGGTGTAGGTGTTGTGTGAGGGGTGGTGGGGGGGTGTGTTGACTGTAAAACTCCACCAGCAGCAAGTTATATGCCTTGGGAGGGTGAGGGGGGGGGAGTCTAGTGAGTGCAGATAGTGCTACACCTCAAACCACCCATTTAATCCCGGAGGCTTAATTAGTCGAACATGCTGTTGTGTGGCCTTGAACTAGCGGCTTTACGACCTTCATCTCCGGTTTCGTCTCTCTTACACCAACCTCAGCAACACTTTAGTGGATAGTTCAGGTGTTCGGATAGTTCAGGTGTTGTGCTTCATTTTAGTGGATAGTTCACTTATACCGATTATCTCGGTGGATAAGTTGAAGCATCTCATAGCATTGAGGGTAACTTTACTGGATAGCTCGGCACCCCCAACACTTTACTGACAGCTCGGGCACCCCTAACACTTTACTGGATAACTCAAGCACTCCCAACACTTTACTGGATAGCTCTGGCACCACCAACACTTTACTGATAACCTAAGCACCCCCAAGACTTTACTGATAACCTGAGCACCAACACTTTACTGGATAACTCAAGCATCCCCAACACTTTACCGGATAGCTCAAGCACCACCAACACTTTACTGGATAACTCGAGCACCACCAACACTTTACTGGATAACTCAAGCACCACCAACACTTTACTGGATAACTCAAGCACCACCAACACTTTACTGGATAACTCAAGCATCCCCAACACTTTACCGGATAGCTCAAGCACCCCCAACACTTTACTGGATAACTCAAGCACCACCAACACTTTACCGGATAGCTCAAGCACCCCCAACACTTTACTGGATAGCTCAAGCATCCCGAACATCACTCTTACCAGGAGGTTTCGACAGTGAGTGTAAAGGAAGTACCATGGCGGGTATACCTGGATTCTGTTCACCCTTTAGCGCTCGTCTGCATTATGTAAACGTTAATATATATTCATAACCTTAGTCTGGGGAGCTTCGTTATTTTCTCCTCTTGACGGTTCTTTTGTGTTCGTCTGTGTCTTGTTCGTCGCTGTAGTTATTCATCGTTGGTTGTATTGATTTATTTTCTCGCTGGATGAACGAGTTTGTGTGGGGGTGTGTAAAGGTAGTGTGTAACAGGGTGGGCGTTCTTTATTTTCATCTCTCTCTCTCTGTCTCTCTCTCTCTCTCTCCTCTCTCCTCTCTACCCTCCTCCTCCTCTCTCTTTCTTTCCCTATTCCCTCTTCAATGTTTTTTCCTCCTTCTTCTGCTTCTCTCCTCATCCCCGTCTGCATTCTTCCGTATATTCTTCATCTCTCTCCTTCTTATCATCTCCTTCCCTTCATCCCTCACTCCTCCTCCTCTCTCTCCCTCCACTCCATTTCTTCCTTCCTCCTTCCCTCCTGCCCCTCTCTCCTCTCCCCTCCCTCTGTCCTCTCCCTCCCCCCCTCTCCCTCCCCTCCCTCTCTCCCCCTCCCCCCGCCCTCTCCTCTTCCCCTCTCCCTCCCTCCCCTCCCTCTTCCCTCCCTCCCCCCTCCCCCTTCCCCCTCTTCCCCTCTCCTCTTCCCCTCCTCCCTCTTCTTCCCTCTCTTCCCTCCTCTCTCCTCCCTCCCTCTTCCCCCTTCCTCCTCTTCCCCCCTCTCTTCCCCCTCCCCCTCACTTCTTCCCTCCTCTTCCTCTCCTCTTCCTCTCCCCCTTCTCCCTCTTCCCCCCCTGCCCTCTCTCTCCCCTCACCTCTCTTCTTCCCTTCTCTCCCTCACTCTTCCCTCTCCTCACTTCTTCCCCATCTCCTTATCAGATCAACGGGGAGGTAGAATGCATCCTTAATTTCTAATCAGAGTCGACCTGGGCGTCGTGGTGAGCTGTCTGGACGACTCATCCATCAACCAAATGAACCCACCTTCATCATCGTTATTGAGAGAGAGAGAGAGAGAGAGAGAGAGAGAGACCTTCAACCCCAAGATGAGACAATGAGATAACGGGAGATGGCATGGAGATTACGACGATATAAGAGGGGAGATAGGGTGTGTGAGGGGTAGGGAGGGTAGAGATAAGGTGTGTGTGAGGGCAAGAGGGGTAGATAGATGGATAAGGGTGTGTGTGAGGGTAGAGATAGGGGTAGAGATAAGGGTGTGTGGGGGTGAGAAATATATCAGATTAATTTATTACTTGTCTAGGGAGAGATAGGAAAGAGATAAAGGAAGTGTGTTAGGTGTTTAGTGGGAGATAACGAGGGGGAAATGAGGAGATAAGAAAGATAAGGAGGAGATAAAGAGAGACGAGGATGATTGTTAGATAACGAGTAAGAAATGATTGGGAGATTAGAATGAGAGAGAGAGAGAGAGAGAGAGAGAGAGAGAGAATAGCGAGGTAAAAAGATAATTACGTGGATAAGGACATAAAATAGAAGAGATGAAGAGTGATAAGATGATAATGAGGAAGGAGGAGAGATAGATAAGAGGAATGACGAGATGGAAGGATAAGAACAAAAGATAGAGAGGAAGAAGCAGATGTAAATAGAGAGAAGGCAAATGTGGAAGGATAATAAGAGTACAGTAAACCCTCCTAATACCAGACTAATTCTTGCGAGTCTTGTCCACTATTGGGAGGATTCCGCAATTGAGAAGTCCAGTATTGAGAGGGGTTATTGTAGCTATTACTTTACTGTACCGTAATTTATTCATAAGTCCGGTATTAAGAGGTTTTACTGTTGCTATTACTTTACTGTACTGTATTTTATTCAGAAGTCCGGTATTAAGAGGGTTTACTGTTGCTATTACTTTACTGTACTGTATTTTATTCAGAAGTCCGGTATTGAAAGGGTTTACTGTATCCGTTACACTATTGTGAAGTCCGTTATTGAGAGGGTTTACTGTATAAGATATAGGAGGAAGATAAAGGATTAATCTTCACATACGAGGAACGAAAAAATGGGCCAAATTAAACCAGACTCGAATTTGCATACTAATCCCGTCGTCTTGGTTAGGATTTGGTTAGGTTAGGTTAGGATTATGTTGAAGTATTTTAGGATTAAATAAGGCTAGGATTACGTGAGGTTATGTTAGGATTGTGTTAAGTTTAGTTATTTTAGGGTTAGGTTAGATTAGGTTAGGTTAGGTTAGGTTAAAGTGATTTGTTTACGCTGGATTAGCATAGGGGTAGGTTAGGTTAAGTTAGATTAGCATAGGGGTAGGTTAGGTTAA